TAAACAAGTATCTATGGAAGTTGTGTTGGAATAAAATCCACGATCTAGGTATTTAAGAAGGTAAAAATGTCCGATAAAAACAAATTTGTGCAGGGCCTAGAGTGGGATCAGAATGCTTAGAAGCTGCCGACTGTAGGCCTAGGCCCCCTCAGACTTAGCTGCGTAAGCCTGTAGGCCTAGCCTAGGCCTAGTTTATGCCAGTGTAAGTAGTATCAGTGCAAATATATAGGAATTTGGGTCAACCCCGATTTTATGAATACCCGAATTTATAAACGGCTCTGGGCCCGTGCCGTACGTAAATGAGGGGTTCTACTGTATATATCATGCTATGCTGTCATTTTCCCCGTTTTCAATGTTAAAACAACAATTTTTTATTATTTGATGATGGTTTTTTCCCGAGAAATGCCCAAAATCATAAACTTTGTAGGCTGCTTTCTCAAAATTTGTTCTTTAAATAGATGTATTTTTAAACTATCTGATAGCTCTCATTTTACTGTTTAACCATGTATTAATACCTAAAGATTGGTATTTGTGATGAGTGACTGGTTTGGCTTGTCTTTGCCATATATATTGTCATGAAGTGGATATATAATGGTCATGAATGTTTTCTTCCTTTTTTCACAAACAATAGGCAAAGAATTATTTTTCTTTTTACTTTTCCTATTAAAATTAATGTATAAATAATGCCACATTGAAATGATGAGAGCATGATTATCCTAATAATGTCAGTATTGTCATCTTTAACCTTTTAACTTAGAACCATATTTTGAATGCATGGTCCTTCAGAATGTTAATGTCTATGCTAACCTTTAAGCATTTATAAAGGGTAATTATTAATGTTGTTATCAACCAGTAAACAAACATTTGTTAAATTACATGCTCTCATAATATGCTAAAGGTCACTAATGTTGTATGTAATTAAATTAAAAATGTATACAAACCAAATCTACACACATAATATGTATGTAAAAATACTAAAATTTCCCTAACCAGTGGTCCTCATTAATAAACAGTAAGCTATGATAATGTAAGTGTATACTATAGAAGTTAATTGCATGGATTTGTAAGAAATGTACAGTTCAATCAAGTTTTGTAAAACAGTTGATTTATATTGATGAAATTATTATATTTGCAGGCATCTTGCAATGAGGAAAAAGTTAATCCTATTTTTCAAATGTAGAAACACAACAAGAAAATTAAGGGTGAGTTTGAAAACTTTCAGTTTCTTTCTGAGACTACTGTATGATAAGAACGCATTCTCCATGCAAAATACTTAGAAGTTATTTAATAAACATGAATAGCATAGAGCGTGCTTGAACTTGCGTTACCAGCCTAGTGTTTATTTTGATAAAGCAGGCAGTTACAAGATGCTTTTTTGTAATTATGCTTCAATCAAATCATTTAATTTACTAGTTTGGTTGTGTATATTCCATACCTTGTCATAATTAATTCATCCACATTCATAAAGAGATTTTAATTTTGCGTACAATTACAATAAAATTAAACTTTATTGCAATTTTGATCAATAACAGAATTAAATTGTAGCTAAAAACGGTAAAAACAAGATTACAAGCAACTTTGATACATAAGGCCAGACTTTTTTTATACATTGTTTAGCTAACCCACCGCCTGCCAATGATAATGATTTGGAATAAAAATTATTTTTGGCCAATTAGCACACCCCACCACGAAAAAATGAAAATTCAGAAAAAATTTTTTATTTAAATAAATGTGTATATATTCTAGGAACAATCCCTGTGTGAAAAGTATGACAAGCTTATGGATTCCTGGGAAAAGAGAATGGATCGCTTGGAAAACAATGCAAAGAGAAAGTAAGTAAAGTGCTTGAGTTGTTAGCCCATTGCACTAAGCCTCAGCATTGTATGGTAGGGTGTTCAGTTCCTTGCCATGCGACCTTTTTCCTCCCCAGTAGTGAACCACCGGATACCCATTTATACTCTTGGCTTGAGAGACACAAACATAGGTAGTGTACGATATCGTCACAGTGACGAAAAATTAGGTATTATTTTTGCACACAAACCTAAAAAAAATCAAGCCAAGTGTCCACTATTGAAAAATTATTGGACTGTGGGGGATAGGCAAATAACGTTAGGAGTTGCAGTGATGACGTCACGATTGACTTATAATAAACATATTAATAATGCACATGATTTGCATTCAAGCCAGTAAAGTCTGACTTGAGCTACACAATATACTGTCTATCCCAAATCTGTTCTGGAGACAAAAAAGCTGGGCATAACCATGCTGAATCATTTGGATTGTCAGTGAGATGAATTGATTGATTGATTTATTGATTAAAGCATATCATTTGTTTGTATATACTTATCTGAACCCTGGGTGGAATCTTTGTTCAACAAGTGGAGTCGGGTGGCCGAGCGGTAAGGCAGGGGCGCCCATAGCTGCAGCCTTAACGTAGGCGCTGGTTCCAGCCGCTCCTCGTCCATGGGTTGGTTAGTAGAACCAAGTCTTCTCGGATAAGGACTTAAAAGGGAGGTCCAGTGTATACATCTGCTCGTGTGCACTTAACAAACCCATTGTATCTTTCGCGATGTGATGGTTCATTTCAGCCCCTGTCGTTGTGGAATGATGTTAACTTGTAGCTACCATGAAGCGCCTCTTTATGTCTGCTAGGTAGTCACGGACCACGCCCATACGCAATTCAGCACAATGACGCTGCAAGTTATGGGTTATTCTCCTAACTTTACCTACCTTTACCTTTAAGGTATAGCAGGCATCAATATTATTGACATAAGAACATGATCCAGTATTGTTCTTAAGCCCCGTCTAGACTATCAAATTTTGCCCATATATAGTCATGATGGGATGTCATCATAATCATATTTATGCATGTGACATGTTTTCATCTAATAAATAGTCAGGGCTTTAAATTTGGGACTCATCTTATACTTTGATTTATTTATATACAGTACAAAAAAACTACAAGCTGTAAACATAGATAAATATCAATCAACTTCAAAATACGAACATTTATGTTTGTGTTTGCTAATGTAGTTATAATAGATAAATGTCAATCAACTTCAAATTTCTAATCTTTTGAATGTTTGTGTTTACTAATGTAGTTAGTTTATCACAATAGATAAATGTCAATAAACTTCAAAATGCCATCCTTTTGAATGTTTCAAATGGTTGCATTTGCAGTTGTCATAATAGATACATGTCAGTTAACTTCAAAATACCATCATTTGTCATAATAGATAAATGCCAATCAACTTTGAAAAGTAATACCTACTCAGACATGAATAAATTTAATAGATGTTGACATCATCATTTAAATCTATTGTACAAGTCTCCTTTTGTAAGAATACAGGAGATGTTTAAACCATTCCTACAGTGTTCAAACTATTAAAAAACATTTCGGGTGCCATGTGTAGGTTGATGTACGTCAAAAATAGTGAATATTAAAGTGATTAAGGCTGAATTTTTTCTTCTGTGTCTTGTTTTACAACTGAGCTAAACTAATGAAAAACTAAATTGTATCTATACCTGATTCACATGAAAAAAATTGCTTCACGTGTCCTCTACTAGGTGAATTTTAGCATGCGTCCCATGTAATAGCCATGACCGAAAAATATTATTATATATATACTGATGTTTACTGTTCCTTCTTAAATTGACTAGAAATAAATTTGCCCTCCTTGGAAGAATAAAAAATATTGATATGATGTACAACTGATTTTGCTAAGACACAAAAAGGGTATTTAAGAAAAAACTTCCCCTTTATTCCACTTTTCCCCCCATTTTAAAATTTTTAAAACAATCTGTATCTCATTAATCATTCTCAAGTTTTTTGTCAAACACTGTTGTCAAAAAAAATTTTTTTTTTTTAAATCAATAGTGCAGATATCAAAACACTTTCTTGCCTCTGGCTTTTAAGGAGTTTTAAAAAATATTATGTGGCTAGAATAATCGACTTGGTACATGTATTATCTGTTCATGTTCTAATTTTTATGTCGCGTAGTGCTTACATGGTGCAGTGCAAGGTTATTGCTACTTGTTCACTACAATCCATGGAATATGGCACTAAGTATGCTATAAGCAATGAAATAGGCAGACTGTGTTTAGTAGACTAGTGTTTGTCTCAATGAGTAATATTTTATGTTAGAATGGAAGTGCACTTTAAAAATTGTGGATATGAGGTGAAGGTTAGAACTTGTGTGTAGAGAGTAGCAGAGAATACTCATGAAACATTAAAACTAATTGAGGTTGACAGTCCATAAATACTGCCAGGAAATTCCTCCCAACCAGCTTGCTTATTTCCTTTCTCTCCATACTCTACTCTATTCTTGACATGGACGAGGTCAAATCATAGGGAATTGCCTGTTAACTTAATAACCAAAACCAACATTTAATCTTTCAAGTAACATTTATACTATTTTCCGTTCCATTTATTTTGAGGGTTTTTTTTTTTAGTGAACATGCATTATGTCATTGCTGGTTTATTTCCCCCTCAGTCTGCTGTCTATTCGCAATTTCTCTGCTAATTACGTTATTTTTTACTGCTGAGATGAAATAAATTTTTATTTGATTTGATGTGCATTGGCTTCAGCTGCATGGATTAATGTTTATGTCAGAAATGTTGCAAAAAGTTAATGTTAGTCAAAGTGTGTTAATCCTGCAAGGAAACTCAACATCATGATACAGCAGCGCTTTAAAAATATATCAAGTAATGGATAACATATACTCTATACCATTTAAAGTCTAAGCTTCCCATTCCCAAGATTGAAGACCAATTTATTATAGTTAAAAGTCTGACTATGGTTAATTCTATGATCATATCTGAGGCTGTTTCTAGCAAAGTATGACCGTTGTAGCTCAGTTGTTAATCAACATTTAAATGTTGTTTATCGTACTCCCTCAGGCTTGTGCCCACTTATTGTAAATACGGTGGAAATTAAAATCACCCTAAGTAGGATATAACAATATATTTTTAAACAAATTTATTAAAACAGTTTATTTAATCTCACCTAATTACCCCTTTTTTTAATGCTCAATTACAAAATTCTGATAACCTGGTTCTCTAAGGGCCTGTTTCTACTGGAAAGAAATAATCGATTAAAAATCGCTTTTTCGAAAAATCGCTTTTATTCTCACAGTAGAAACGGGACCAGTTCGAAAAAAAAATCGATCAAAAACACGCAATCGATGGCGTGTTTGAACGGCAAATAACCGATTTTGGCTATGTACCTTTTAGCTGCAACACAAAAAAAGCGATTATCAGGTGAAATGTGACCTCCAGGTCAATGACTGCAAAGACTAGATCGTTTTTCTATTGGCGCGAACTTTAAAAAAAAATTGTCCTTGTTCATGTCCTTGGCCTACAAGCTAAAAACGTCAACAAACATGAGGAGTGACGAATTTGTTTTGTAATTATTTTGTGGGGGGAGGATATTGGGCCTAGGACTCTTCGCTCTTTTGGGCCTACCGTTGTCCTCGTTTGGTCATCGTTCATAATTGTGCCGATGAGCACAGCCGAAAACATTTGCCTTCTCGCCCCACATCGTATCTTACTCCTCGTCATCATGACAGGAATGAGAAAGATACTATCCTA